CTCAAAATTTTACTAGGGTAACCCTGTCATGTAACTAACAAAAAATAATCATTACACAATTTTACCTAACCCTAACCCTAACTAATTGTAACTTTACTTAAAATCTGCTATACCTCAAAATTTTACTAGGATAACCCCTGTCATGTAACTAAGTAAAAATACTCCTCTCGCAATTTTACCTAACCCTAACCTAAACCCTAACCCTAACTCTAGCCCCCAACTAATTTTATTATTAGTTTTGAAGGGGTGCACAGCTGTGCAGGGTGCACAAAATTATTAAATCCTTTAGATTTTTATAAAAATATTTATCATACTATATAATTAGTTACTTTTTTTTTTTTACTAAGTTATAGAGTTAAAAGTTTAATTAACTAAATTACTAGGTCTAACTTTTATATACTATATATTTTTATTTTATCGCGGTTTTCGAAATACAGTCAACCCTCCACATAGTCACCTCCCATATAATCACATCATATGTAATCACATTTTTATTTAGGTCAAACTATGATTTAATTTGTAAGAAAAAAACCTCCATATAAGCACAACCCCTTTTATAAGCACAACCCCTTTTATAAGCACATTTAAAAAAAATTTACTATGTGCCCAACTGTGTGATTGTATGGGAGGACGACTGTACAGAAATCAGGGCAAAAAAATTTTTTTTTGGTGTATACTCGTATACCGAATTACCTTAGCACACAGATACTTACATACGTACGTATGTACGTACCGTACGTACTTATTGTTTACCAAAAAACAATTACACGTCTAATTGTTACAGGTGCAGCCGGTATACGGGTATACACCAAAAAAGATTTTTTTGCCTGATTTCTACTATTTCGAAAACCGCGATAATTATATATTCAAATTTAATAGTTAATTTAATTTTTTTAATAAAATATACTATATATATTAATATATTATACCATATAATCAAATTTAGAATATAAAAAAAAAAAAAATCAAGTACTTATAAATTAGTAAATATAATACAGTATTTATTATAAAGATAATGTGTAAAAATATATTTGTTTAGTTAAAATTTATAAAGTTATATAATATATAGATACAAACCATTTTTTTAAAAAAAAATTAAATTTAAAAAATTTATTATGTAACAAAATAATAAAAAATTTTTAGCGTATATAAACAACATTAATTATTAATTTTAGTGTATCATTGTTAATAAGACGATCCATATGCCAAAATAATATCCAATACGTAAAGTGCAAATCTAATTACGTATCACATACAAATAATTTAAAGACTACAATTTAAAGGTTACCATGTATTGCAAATTCCTACATGCCGGAAAATTGTTATGATAAGAACTACGTATTGATATTTCACACACTATGGTGTCATCCAGTTCTAGTCAGAATTTTTGGATATCCCACGCAAATACTGTAGAATTAATGCAAACCTGCGATACTGGTTTTTAGAAGGATTTAGTGCGATTAATATTTGACTAATAGCATAGAGCTACTTTCCAAATTTTTTATTTTGATTTTGCTACATTGAGAAACTAATAGGACTTTTACACTCGATTAAGGACCCTTAAAGAAAATTATATATCGAACAAATCTTTACCAAAAAGGAACGTGTGCAGCATTATTTTAGATAAAAACGGTAATAAAGCTTCAATGTAGATGCATAAGTGTCAGTTATATGATTGTTTTATTTGATAACTTTGACAATTTTAATAGCCTACCAAAATTTATTTATATCCTTCGAATGTTCACTACGTAAGTACGATGCTAGTACAGTACGTACGTACGTACAGTACACAGTAACCGGCAATCATGTATAACATAGTGTAGTACATTACTAAACCAAAATAGAATTGAAGAAATCCTTAATAAAATTTATAACGTGCTGATTGGTATTAGCCAATATCTTTCTATTGACCAATATATTTGATTGTTTTTCATATTAATAACATAAATAAATGATAAATAATAGTCGAAGATTATTATTATGTACTTCTAAAGGGTTCTAGTCAAATGATTGGTATGTATTTTGAACTTTTATGCATACATACATATGCATTCTTAAATATACCCGACAGGTTGGATATTTTAGAACTAATGATTTTATTATTAAGGCTCAAAGTATGTGCGACTACTTTTAATTATTTAGCTGCAAAATAAATCCACTAATATGCATACCAATACTATTTATGCTTTAGCAGTTATAATTTGCGTTTCTACGTATAGGTAACCAGATAATTCCGGGTATTCCTCCTAGTGGCGAAAACTAACGAAAGTTTTTCTTAATTCTTTTAATAAAAAAAGGGTTTCCTCTTTTTTTTTTAATACACATATACATAGAATAACAATCATTGTTTTTTCATTCTTTATTTTATTAACTTGTAATAATCCTTTCATTAACTATCGGCATTCATTTTCGATCGACGACTTTTGCTGTGTTACCAATAAACGAAACGTACTTTAAAAAGAACCATTCATCATTAAAATAATAATAATAAAAAAACGAAGTTACAAATAAATTCATCCCTTCTTTTCATCTCTTCATAATTATTATTTCAAACAATTGAATAAAAGTGGAGGGTTAATAAACACATTATATTGTATATATACATTTTTTTTTTTTATATATCGAACCTGTGATCTGAAAAACTTTGCGAGGGCTGGCTCCCTGAAAAACTTTCAATTCATATTTAAAAAAAAAGCTGGATGCCAGATTTAGTAAATTTATAAAAAAAACATAATCTTTTTACATCTCTTCATATATTTATTCTCTCGCAAAAATGGTCCACGCAACTAAAGAAAAGGAAAATTCAACAGTACAAGTTGGTATGTAATAATAATCGATAAAAGTTTGTAGAATTTGAATAGAATTTGCAATACTTTTGTTCTTATTGCTCTATTGTAGCACCTTTCATAAATGGTATAATCCTAACAACTATAAAACTCTAAAAAAAAAAAAAAAAATTATATAATTATTTGATTTTAGCCCTTCGAATAAAGCCTCTCACAGCCGATGATCTGGTCAACCTCCCATCTCGGTTTCAAAGAAATGTTCTTTCCACAACAGAATTTGCTCCAAATCAAGTTATAGTACATGGAGAAAAGAAACAAACATGGACATTCGACAAGGTTTTTGGCCCTGAATCGTCACAAAAAGACATTTATGAACAAACAGTCAAAAGCATGGTAGATAAATTTTTAGAAGGTGCGTTTATAATCATATGATAATTATCCTCAAGAAAGGTTGGTTCTTAAAAAATTTATTATTGTTGTTTTTTTTTTTTTTTTGAATAGGTTTCAATGTAACCATTCTAGCATATGGTCAAACTTCATCGGGTAAGACATATACAATGGGTACATCAAATGAATATTCCCAATTATCAGAAACAAAGGGTATAATACCAAGATCCATGGCTACTTTATTCTCTTACGTCAATTCGACGCAATTTAAGAGCCGCAAATTTGTCATAAAAGTTTCATTCGTGGAAATATATAATGAAGACTTGATAGATCTTCTTGCCGAAGGGGATTATGAGAGCAGACCATCGGTGACGATACGGGAGGATTCGAAAGGCAATATGATCTGGAGTGGATTACAAGAAATTAAAGTAAACAGTATAGAAGAAGTCATGAGGTACGTTGAATTTTTTCTGGTTTTATTTTCTATTTTATTATCATGAATTAATCGAAACTATAAATATACTGTATTAGGCATTTAATGAGTGGTTCGATGAACCGACAAGTAGGCGCGACCGAAATGAATTCTCAATCATCTCGATCACATGCTATTTTTTCGGTTACGCTATCGCAACAAAAATTTGTCACTGACTTTAGAACAAAAAAGAATGAAGAAGAAGGAGATTGGGTTACGGTGACCAGTAAATTTCATTTCGTCGATTTAGCTGGTAGTGAAAGGGTAAGACGCTACGTGCGCTATTATTTTTCTTCATATTTTGGCGCTTAAAAATAAATCTATTTCATTGAATGTTTTTGCTAGCTTAAACGAACTTCGGCAACAGGGGATCGTGTGAAAGAAGGTATATCTATCAACTCTGGCCTTCTTGCATTAGGTAATGTTATATCTGCTTTGGGTGACCCAGCAAAAGCAAAAAACACTATGCATATTCCATACCGAGATTCAAAACTCACTCGATTATTGCAAGATTCTCTTGGTGGAAATGCAAAAACATTGATGATTGCATGTGTTTCTCCGGTAGAATACAATATTAATGAGACGATCAGCACACTTAAATATGCAAATAGAGCTCGTAACATAAAAAACACTGCCATCGTTAACCAGGAAGAAACAGGATGGCAGGATATTGAATATTTACAAACTTTAGTTCTAAAACTTCGTGCTGAAATTAAAACTTTGAAAAATTCTGATGGGCTTAATTCTCCAATTTCACCAAATTCACCATCGTTTCAATCAGATGCTGCAGATTTACATCAAAATTATTTTGGTTCCGAAACAATTTCGAATTTAACTACTGATTCGACCTCAGAAGAAAATAAGGACATTCAAGTACTTGAAGAACAGTTAATAGAGCTTCAAAATTTATATAATGATATGTCTAAGAAGTATGAACAGGCTTCCGCATCTCTTAACATGTGCAAAAATAGTGATGGCACAGAAAAATCTTTATTTACTAACGGTCAAAATACAATACCAAATCAAGAGGTTTTAAAATCAATGACTTCAAATTATGAAAACTCTATTATTGAATTCGAGAAGGAACTTGCTGCCGTACGAGAGGCAGTACGCAATGCTGAAATGCTTGTTCGCGAACAAGAGATGAAAGTGTTGGATGCAGAAGACCTTAATAATCAAGATGTAAGATTAATAAACGATCTAAAAAATAATATTTCAAATCGTGAAGAAAGGAAAAAAACCACTGAGGAATATATTAAAGATCTAGAAGCTAGACTGAATGCACGTGAAAGCGAGCAAAAAAAGGATCAGGATATAATTAATGAGCTTAGAGAAAGATTAGTTCATGTTCAGTCAGCAGGAGACGACACTGAAAAGATAGTCAAAAACATTGAGTTAAAATTGAAAGAAAGTGAATTAAATTTTCAAAAAATCAATAAGAATGCTCAAAAATTGGAAAAAGCTTTACACGACGCATGTGATGCTTATCTTAAACTTGAGACGCGATATAAAAAAGATAGAGCTAACGAAGAAGATGATCTAAATCTCTTTTTGGAAGAAATTCAAGATCGAGATGAGAGAATTTCACAACTTGATAAAAAAGCTGAAGAGCTTGTTGAAGAGCTTGAACAGATGAAAAGGCTTAAAACAGAAGCTGATAGACATTCTCTGAAACGACGACAATCCACGTCGACATTTTCTTCTCTCACTGATCTTGAAACACCAATAACTTCTACACCACTTGGAGATTATTATACTACCTCTCAACTTGAATTACAAATATATGAATTACAACAAATACAAGAAAGGACAATGTCCGAATTTTTAGATATTAAGCAAAAATATCAATATAGCCTTGATAAATTAAGTGAACTTAATAAACAAACAAGAAATCGCTCTTCTCATAGAAAATCATTATCAATATCTAATGAAACAATAGACGAGTTATCAAACAATGCATTAATACAAAAGTTACAAACTGAACTTCGACAATTAGAAATGTTTCATGCTGATAAGGCACGAGGTCTCGATGCTGTAAAACAAGAATTTGCTCGACTTGAAATTAATCATCTTAATACACTTGAGATTGTCGAAGAATTAAGTGAAGAAATAAAAAGAAGAGATGCGATGGCACAAAATGAAGTTATGTCTGTTATGAATTCGGATCATATTTATTTTGATTCTGGAGATTTCTCTACCGTCACTAGTGAGATTGACAAACAGGAAATAATAAATAGATTGAGAGAAGAGGTTGAACAGCTTAAAGAAGATCAGAAGAAAATTTTGGACAATTTAGATACAAATCAAGGAGGTTATAAAAGTGATAAAGTTTTGGAAGTTGAAATGAAAATCAGCGAAATAAAAACCGAAATGAGTAATGTTATTTCTGAACATTCCAAAAAGATGGCAGCTAATCCGGATGATGAATCTCTTAATGCAACGTTCTCTAGGTTAAGAGAGCTTGAAGAACTTTTGATAAAAGCATTCGAAGATAAGAGAAAGGCCAGAGTCATTGATGCTATTTCATGTTTGGATGCTGATACGCATTTACAACCAGAGCTTAATGATGAAATGTTAGAAATGAGAATGCAAATTAACAAACTTGATATTGAAATTGAATCAAAGAGTCATACAATAGCAGCACTTTTGTTCCCATCCATCGAACAACAAAACGCAATTCGGAAGCTTGAAGATGAACTGCAGGAAGCTAGAGAATCTTATCAAGTAATTGTGGAGAAAAAAAATAAATTAAATTCAATCTCTGAAGAATCTGATACACTTGAAAAACAACTCAAAACATTGGAAGAAAAAATGAATAACTCTGAAGCTCAAATAGCTAAGGCAAAAGAATCTCATCATGTTCCAACTCCACGACGAAATTCCTTGATGTTGCTTTTGGATACACCAACACATAAAGCTATTAATAGTGTTGGAGAGAAACTTTCAAGCTTGCAAAAGGAACTTGCAACTAAATTAGAAGCAACAGAATCCTTGCAAGAGGAACAAGAAATTGTTATTGCCCTTCAAGAACAATTAGAATTTCTCAAAACAAACATTCAACAAAAAAATGAACTAATTGACCATTTAAAAGAAGACTTAGAAGACAAATCATCCCTTCAACAAAGATTGAGAGAAAAGGAAGCAGAAGCGTTATCATTTAGAACAAAACTTATGGACATTCAAAATAAAATAATTTATTTTCAAAATGAAAAAAATGAACTCGGCATGTGGCTTCAGAAGTTAGAAACCGGGGGTGATATAAATAAAGATATTGAGATTGAATTGCGAGTTTTAAAAAAGGAAATTATACATGTTCGTGAAAGAGAAGCAGCAGCATTGGAACGGCTTCGAGTTCTCAAATCAAGTATATCCACGGAAAATGAAGATACTCACCTTCATGAAGAATTGGAAAATTTACGCAGTGTAGAGTGTGCCCAGCAAGAGAGAATAAATGAACTTGAAAGAAAAATTGCTGAAAAAGGAGATAGCGTTGATGAAGAGATTGTAAAAGTGAGGACTGAATTAGCAATAGTTAGGAAGGCTCAAGAAAAACAAAGTAACGTAATCGAAACACTCGAACAGAAATTAAAAATTGCAGAAGACAAATCATATGTAGCTGCAATCAAGCAAGAAATTAATGACTTAAAAACACGAGAAACTGAGAATTTAAAGAAAATACAATCTTTAGAATCAGAATTACGTGAATCGACTATCCAAGATATGCAGCAAGTTGACAAATTGAATGAAGAGATTAAAAAGTTACGTGGTCATAAACGAGAACAACGTAAACAGATGGAATTTCTTCAAAATCGGTTAGAATTGGCAGAAGATGAAAATCCAGATATATTATCTTTAAGAAGTCAAATATCCGCGTCCAAAGCTTCTGAAGCAGAACTCCAAAAAAAAGTTAATGATTTGGAAGCTAAATTCGCAACTGTTCAGAAAGAAGCGAAAATTTTTGAAATGGTAAAAGAGGAGGTAAAATTCTTGAAAGAATTAGAAATTGAGCAAAAATCCACAATTGATCAATTACAATTACAATTAAATAAAATGAAAGAAATAAAAGAGGTCGCTATTAAAGAGTTATCAACAATGAAAGGTGGATCTGACCTTCAAAAGAGACTTGCTATATCTTTAGAAGAAGAAATGAAAAGATTAAGACGGGAATTAGAACTTGCTAAAAACGATACTAATTCATCATCTGAGAAATACGAAGAACTTACAAACTCATTGAGCACCACTCATAAACAATATGAAGAGTCATTAAAACGAATAAAAATTTTGGAAGGTGAAGTTGAATCGTTCGAGAATAATGGAGTCGCAAGCGATGAAAAAGTTGCAACTGTGAGGACTGAGTTGGTTAATGCAAAACTTGAGATAATGGCACAAAATGAAATGGTAATTAGCTTAGACTCACAAATAGTAAGTGTTGAGAAAGAACGCGATCAGAACGCGCAACGAGCTAAAGAGTTAGTGAACATACTTGATGAAAGAGAGATTAATCAAAAAGATGCTATCAGAGCACTTGAATCTACGTTAACAAATTTTGAATCCAAAATTCTTGAAATGAAAGTTGAACCAGATGTAAACAATGAAACTATCGTACTTATGGATGAAAAACTTGGGGTTGTTCGAACGCAACTTAAAGAAACGAAGACCATAGATGAAAAGCGCATCAAGATGCTCAATGGATTAGAAAACGAATTAAAAGTATTGACAAAATTGGTGGTGTCAGATGAACAAGAATTTATGAATCAAGATTATAATACTGTGAATCTAAATTCTATTATACAATCTCTAGAAACTGAATTGCAAATGGCGCACTTATCAAAGACGAATTCCTCTGCACGCATAAGACAGTTAGAAGCCTTACTTGCAGAAGCGAATTTAAAGCGTGAATGCAATGCTACATCATCTATTAATCTTGAAACATTAAATGCAGAACTTCAAAAAGCTAAAGAAACTGAAGTTCAATATCGACAACAGGTCAAAAGTTTAAAATCTAAGATTCGAGATGCCAAACAACGTCGGAATGCGGAGCATGCTAATCTTAAAGATATTACAAACAATATATATTCTCTTAGGGCACAAAGTACTTTGATGCAAAATGAATTAGATGATATTAAATATAATTCTGTTCTTGATTGTTACGATAGTATAGATGATGAAACTGTCGAAAATATTATTAAACAGTTAAAACAAACTCATAAAGTGGCTAAAGAAAAAATAAATCGTGTCATTGAATTGGAAAAGATTTCACATCAATTAGAATCTGACAAAATTAATCAATGTGAACATAATGAAGATCTTGAAGAAGAATTAGATCAACTTCAAAAGGATATTGAAACTCTGGCGGACGAATTCGCAGATGCGGCATCAAAATTTGAAGATAGTGATAAAATATGTAAGAAACAAAGGCGTATAATTGCTGAATTGGAAGTTGCACTGGAAGGGGCCAAGAATCCAATCAATATTAGTGAATTAGAAGGATCCACAGACCCAGAGACAAATAGATTGGTGGTTTTAAATAAAGAACTACGTCAATCTCATGATCAATTGAATTCAAAAATGTCCGAAGTCGAAAAAAAGGCTAATTCACTAACAAATAAAATTAAATCCCTGGAAACAGAACTTGTTCGACTTGATGAAAATGATCATGCTTTGACCAAAAATCTAGAAATTCAAATCAAGCAACTTGAATTCGAAAAGGATAAATTACAAGGGACAAATGAAATTATTCTTGAAGAACGTGAAATTCTGGATAAACGAATAACATTTTTAAGAGAGCAATTACGAATGGATGGAACTGATGAAACAAAGACAGCCACACAAATCATTCAATTAAAAGAATTCGTTAGCAGTCTTAACAAACAAGTTTCTGATATCAAACAAAAATCAGCAGATAAATCCAAATCTATGGAACAAGAAATTAGCCAACTATTGAAAATTAATGCTCAACTCGAGAGAGAAACCAATCAAATTGACGGATCAAGTCCTAGCAATAATTCAATAGGAAATAAAATCATAAATCATGACTATACTATCGCAGAACAGAATGACCTTATAAAATCTCTGCAAGAAAAGGTAAATCAACTTCAAATGCAATCATATGATAACTTTGAAGGACAAGATAATTATATGCCAGTAAAATTAAAAAAGAAAGCCATGCGCACAAAATTAATAACTACTGGATACACACGACGACCTAGCGAAGATTCATCTAGAACACCAAGTCCAACTATACCACCACCAAGAACACCAACCACACCGAGAAATATATCAAATATCAGCTCTGATCTTTCTGCTGAATTCCAAAGACTTCTCAAAAAAGCATCAATTATTGAAAATGAAACTTCGGAAAGTAGAAAACATGTAGAATCATTAGAATCAAATGTAGCTGAGGGGGAAACAAATCTTTCGATAGCCAAAGATCAGTTATCAATCTTACAAAAAGAAAAACATGAATATATGGAGTTAATTAAGAGCTTGAGCAAACAATTGAATGAAGCTCAAATGCAAATTGAAAACGCAAAATATAGTGTTAAAGAAGAACAAAAAGTTATGGAAAATATTTTAGACGAAGAGAGAAAGGCTAAAGTTAAAGCCGAGAAAGCAAGATTGGCACTTGAAACTCAAATGGAACAAATTATGAATAAGAAAAGAAGGTTTATGTGTTTTTAAACCATTATTATTTATTTTTCTAAAATTATATTATTATAATTTTTATATTTATTTACATTATAAATATCATTATTTTTTTATTATTATTTATTTTATTTATCTGGTTGTACCCATTGTTATACATATCAAAAGGTTTAATTTTTCTTGTGAGATATATTATTATAAATCTGGTATTTTTTTAATATTATATCTGTTTTAATAAGTAATTGTATGATTATAAATGATTTATAAAACATAAAATTGGTTGTTTTTTTTTTAATAATAATTTGAAAAGATAAATAAATTATATATTCCTTATACCAAATTTATCAATAAAAATATTTTTTACATAAAATTTTATCGAAACTATATACAGTAGCTACTTTTGAAACTGAGTTTTATGAAAACTATTGTTAGATCTATCGTTAAACGACGAGTTAGATTTAATATATAATGCTGTATATAAGGCCATACAAATTTGATTACTTGGTTTTCATAACATGAAACTTTTAAATAGACCCGGCCGGCCGGCTTTTTTTTTAAATTTCATATATAAAATTTTACAAAATTTATATTAATTTTTTTTTTAAAACCCACCCGGTTATTAAAACATATAAAAATTTTTTTTTTGAAATTTTCAAATGAAAACCATTTAATTAATTTTGCATGGCCTAAGGTTGAATCAATAGAAATTAAGCAAATATTTTTTAAATGTATTTTAAGACTAAGCAAGAGTAGCTTTAACAAATACTTCATCAAATTAATTCTGCAGTTGTTTAAAGTTATAAAAAATTTTCTTGATTTCTATTGACTTTAGTGTTGCATAAATTCTAACGTAGCTTATTGGTTGGTATATGGTCGGTCATTCCCAACAATAGAATGATTGTTTGACCAGAATTAGCAAATTGGCCTAAACTATACGCCTACTCTAATCCCTAACTCAGGCCGAAGCGACATCTGACGCAAGAACTATACGTACGAAAAATAGAAAAAGATGATTATTGTGATTTTGTATACAATATGGTGATATTTTTGCAGATCTCTATTAATTACGTTATGTGCAACGTTAGTTCATATTTATAAACGCATTTTTTAAAAAGGTTAAAAATACTCTGTCTTTCGTTGAACATGGCCTCTTTCTACGATGAAATCGAGATTGGTGTGTTTTCTAGGCAAAAGTCACTTTACACCTTATTATAAAATATATTTATATTTATTTGCCTAAAAATTTTATTTATTTTTTTTTAATTTTTAATTTTTTTGAAAACAGAAGACTTTGAGTTTGACGAAGAAACACAAACGTATCACTATCCATGCCCATGTGGAGATCGATTTGAAATAACAATGGTATTTAACTTTATTTAACATAATTGTCTTGTTGACTTTAATTTTACTGAAGTTTTTGGTGATTGTTGCGGATGTATTTGATTCTGTCAAAAGGCCGACCTGATTGATGGAGAAGACATAGCTAGGTGCCCAAGTTGTTCTTTAATGGTTCGTGTGATATATGATCCTGTAAGATTTTAAATTTCACATATTGATGCTACTATTATGATTGCTTTTTTGATCTGTTCTGAATATTTTTAAAATTTTTAGAATGATTTTCAGGATAAGGACCAAACAACAGTTATTAGTCTAGAAAAAAAAGCTATTGCAATTTGAAATTTGCATCTTTATAAAAGAAAAGAAAAGAACGTAATGGCGTCCCATAATGATATAAAGGGTTTTTTTTGTTAAAAAAAAAAGCATCATAAACAGATTATTTACGTTAATTTTATAAAATATTAGAATTTTGTAAGCATTTTAAAAGTAAATAAAATTAATATAATTGTAATTTACTGTATCTTGCGGAACATATCCCACATCATTGTGGCGACTCTTTTTAACAGTTTACACCTAGTAGCTAAAGGTGAATGCATAATTTCTTTTTATTAGGTCAGACCCCTCCAACCTAGATGACCGAATTAACAGCCAATCATAATGTATATATATAACACATAGACTATTAACCATCTTCCCTTCCTCATAAATTACATAATAAACGGCGCCTCCCTAACTTAGTGGTTAAGTTCTAGCCGTTGAAGCCTGGAGGTTTCGCAATGAAACGCAGAACCGGTTATTTTCTTGATTTTCATAAGAAATATAATCATTCATTATCAAGAAGTCCACTTAGAAAAAGCTAGTGAATGCATAATTTCGGATATTGTTATCAAATGAAATTTTGGATATTCTCAAGGCCTCTTAATCAATGAGTAGACATGTGTCAGGAACTAAATTTTAATTAGTAAAAGACAAATACGTACGTACAGATATGTAGTTTATTACTGTACGTCAAAATAAATTTTTTAAATAGTGAAAAATGAGCAATGAGTTTATCGTTCCATTCAAGCTATCTTTTTTTGGGGGTACCGACGTATGAACTATTATTGTTTCGTTATTAACACTAACGCATATTAAATGGAAATTGGTAAATACGTAAATAAGCAATAAGGCAGCGGGTCGATGTTCCTTACCATTTTTTGTATCTGAAAAAGTTTCGATGACATTTAATAAACTACATAAAATCAACAAAGCTATTCTAGTATTCGTGTCTTTATTTAGGTTTATGTAATAATCAGCACACATTACTATCCAATAGATACAGAAAGAGTGAAATCTCAATAATGTCATTATTCGCATTATTGATTTTATCCAAAATACTGTATCAGTATTATTATAAAAATAACAATATTGCGCTCGCTGATTCAAAAAAAAAAATTATTTTTAGACCCGTCCGGTTATAAAAACCATTCATTGTATGGCTTTATGTTAATCCTATAATCCGATAATCCAGTAATTGTAACCAGGCCAACAGGTTTGCTGCCCGGTTTTGGTCCCGAGGAAATCGGTTCTCAGGATAATAAAAAAAAAAGGTACTGTATAAATCATAAGGCGTGTGTGGCTGGTCATCAATAAACCTAACAAACTTAATTCTATAATTTTGATTGATTAGATGTAAATACGTATAAAATAAACGTCGAAACAAACTATACCTGATACGTATACGTATATATACTTAATTACCTCATACGGTATTAATTTACTTGTATATAAAAAATTTTATTAAGTGTACTATCTGTAGTACACTAAAAATTCTAAAAAATAAATTTGATTAAAAATTTCAACCTAATCTTAACCATTACCTAAAATTTAAATTATCGGTTTCCCACTGTATATTGTAACCCATTAAACATTCAATGAAAATAAAGACATATAGTCCTTACTTTAAATGAAGTCCTCTTAAAGCAAAATTAAGACTTTAATTATCCCAAATCCCATAAACTACAAGCAACGCGTTAAGTATCGTTACATGCTAACATTACAATTAAAAAACATTAATGCACTAAACATAATTTGCTACTTAAAATCTATCCACCAAATCTAATCCAACTAAATTCAAGAAACAAACAAATCAAATTAAAAACATTCTATTGTCCAGCATATATTAAACCAGTGAAGCATTACCACACAAACAAATCTCAACCTAGGAATTATTGACAAGAGAATTAAGAGCATAAGCAAGAAAAAACATAGCCATTCGAGCATCGGATTCATCATCTGAAGGTTCATCATCTCGACTACTACTCCCATCATCACTTGACGCCACTAATCTTTCCGTAATTTCATGATACTCCTTTATCAATTTTGGTTTTAAAATAACCCACCCTCGCTCATTAAAAGGTCTTTCGTATTTATAACATCTTTCCAAACTAGGACACATCTCTAAAATAAATCTTGTATACTTCTGACTACCATCAGGATTTTTCAATGAACACATTTCTTCTAATTTTAAATTTATAGCTTTTCTTCGTTCGATTAATACGTATACTCGACACTTATCATCCTCTTGGCGGCGTAATAAAAGTTGATGTTCGCGTCGAGTAAAGATAAAAGTTTGACGTTTGACCCAATCATCGCGTTCATGTTGAGAGAGATGTTGAAATTCATTATTTTTGGATTGTACTTGGTTAAACCAATATCGCCAATTTTTGTTGCCATCTTTATGAGTTGAAGACGAGAGAAAGGCAATAATATTGGGGTTAATGTTTTTAATATACGATAGACTGTCTTCACTAAAAAAAAAATAATAAATAAAAAATTAAATAAATCGATTATTAATATTTAATATTTATGCAAGAAAATAAATAAAGAATTTTTACTGTATAGTTTTTTCTCTAAAACATCCAAGACATGCACGAACTCCTCGTTCCCAATAAATTCTTGTAACCCTATTCTTGGCCTTACAGAATCCGCATTTATCTTCCATTAAAAATTTAATATATTCTCGTTCTGTCATGCCCTCAAGTGGCCCCAATTCTCGACATGGAATATATTCGAGTCGTGCTTGACGCCAGATCTCTTGAATAGTTATCGAATCGTTGTGACATAAATCGTTATAAAATGTTTTACAAACAGTTGATAAAGAGAGTAAATCGGCTGGTGAGAGTGATTTACAAATCTGAAGAAATGTTTCCGGTGGAAGAGTTAAAAGAGATGATCGAGTCGCAATTGTCAATATGGACGTGGATCGAGTCTGAGAAGTTGCCATTTTTAAGTTGAAGCTATTTTATACGAAAAAGAAAAAGAATGTAAAATACACGCGTTTATGGATGAAACCATTTGTTTGAAAGAAATTAAATCATACATATTTTTATTCGAAAACAAAGTGCGTATTTGCGAAAGCTAATTTTGAGATATCTTGACCATTTGTTCTTTTTATAAATGTCAGATGTACTACAATAGATGGTTATGGATAAACAACACGTAAACAAACAACTACTGTTTTTACCTCAAAATGGATTAAATTTACCAATTTGGGAAAATAATACAAGCAAAAATATATTTATCTATCATTATAAAAATCACAAAATAAGAGAAGAGTAGCTGATGTGTTGTAACGCAAAAAATGCGTGGCTCGTTACTGTATTTTAAACAATACATGTGAATATTGTTTACGCAACAAATACGTAAACTACGACAAAAATCGATCAATTCTAATCAGTGGTCATTGTGATAAGAATCAAATGTGCTAGATTGTATATAATTATTAATTATTTAATTTTAATTCGTAACTTTATCAGACAACAGATATATAATAAACTTCTACAATTTTTAATTAACGAATGAGATGTTATTTTAGTGAAATAAGAATCATTTCGATACAAAGTTACGTCATGCAAAATGTGGTAAACGTAATGGTAATTTTTATTCGTTAATTTGAAATTGTATGTACGTTGAATTAGATGTTTAAAATAACCCAAATAAATTAAAAGTGTATTTTTATATTTTTATATGTATACAAATTAGGCCAATCGTGATATAAAATTTATCTTAAACCATAGCATTATCGCTCTTTTCAAATTAGTGTCCATCAAATTTCGTAGATCACACATCACTGAGAATCTGAAATTGGCAATTTGATTTTCATATTCCAAACTTTTTTAAACTTTGAGCGAAGATATCTCGACAACCACCAGGCAAAATTTAACGGACTATTTTTATTTGAATTTTACTGATTCGTGGAATTCAAATAAAAAAAAGTTCATTAAATTTTGCCTGGTAGTTATCAAGAAACCTTCGCTCAAAGTTAAAAAAATTAAATAGAATTTTTCTTGAACTTTGTGTGAATATATCTTGACAACCATCAACTCAATTTTAATAACTTTTCTTTTTTATTGAATTCTATATCTGTAGAATTCAAATAAAAAAATTTTATCAAAATTTGATTGATAGTTGTCAAGATTAGTGTTCGAAAAAGTCAGCATGGATCGGATTCGGATTTGCACGAATCCAAACTGTCGGATTAGTTTTGGACCCTGAATCGTGAATTGGGCCCAGATTGAGCGGGATTGGGCCTAATTTTAGGTTGTCTTTATATATAATCACTGTATATGATAAATTCAAACTTATTACATTTGCATCACAATATATGTGATATATTCGAATTTATCACAAATATTATGACAAACTGCGGATTAACCATTGGATTCAATTCGAATTATGGATTCAGATCAGATTCAGATTAATCCCAGATCAACCAGGATTTTTAATCCGTTTTCGAACACTAGTCAAGATATACAGTATTTATTTAAAGTTTGAGAAAAATTTTTATTTGAGAGACTTGAGTTTTTAAAACAGCCAAATTTGATGAATTTTTTTTTATTTGAATTTTAAGAAAATATAGAATTCAAATAAAAGTTATTAAATTTGATTTAGCATTTTTTTTTTTTTTGAGTTAAGGAGACCTCTTTGGCCTGAAAGCTTTTATTAGGATTTGAAACGGTGTTTTATACACAATTACAACGATGG